GAATTATGTGCTTGTCTTCTGAAGAGCTACAGGGTTTTTCTGCATTCAGTGACACAACATTTTTTCATTCATCTGGTTTGCTAAGTGGAAACTTCTCTTTGTGAACAAATGTGAAGGTTTTCATTAATATTTAAATTACGATATGTTCCCTATATTCTGAATTAATCTATATCATTGCTTCCTTGTAAGTAAAACCAATCAGGTTTAAAGTATAGCTCTAGGCTGATCCAGAAGGAGAAGGCTGTTCCCAACTGCCTTGATCTACTAATTCCTCAGTCAGGGTAGTGTTTTGCGAACTGTTTGCTTTCCTGCCTTCCTGTGGGGACAGCCTGGATTTCTTAGTGCTGTTTGAGATGGTGCCGCTGTAGACTGAGAGAGCTGGTGTTACAAAGCTGAAGCAGGCGAGTTCTGAAGCTGTCTTCAAAGCTGTGTGATAGAACTGCAATGCATAAAGATGTTCCTGGAGGACGTTGGAGCAGTTGTTTGAGAGAAGGAAGCATAGTAGCTGGCTGAGCCTGGTTTCCTTCAATAGAGTTTTATTTTGTGTTTTGCTGCTTTGGAGAAAGAAAAGCAGATTCAGCTGGCTGAGTTTGAAGAAATTTGCTGCCATGTACTTTAAGGCTTTTGCTGTGAACTGCATCAGTTGGGTGCCATGCTGCAGGCAGGGCCAGCCTTCTCTAGCAGCAGAGCCTCCCAGAGCAGAGGTTATTTGAAAAGGTTTGGAGGCGTAAGATGACATGATGCAAAGCCCCATTCAGGTGGATTTTAGTTGTGTGAGATAGTGTACACCAGTGGTTACGTTTCTTCACACTGCTTTGGCTCCCAGTCTTCTTCAAAGAGGTATCTCCAGCAATTGTCTGAATGCTGTTTTGTTGGCACAGAGGGAAGTGTATATACACGTGGAAGAAAAGGGGAAGTTTTGACTAGCAAGTTGAAAAGCTGACAACAAATAGAAATTGTATCTTCTTAAGTTTATATAACACATAACTGAACCGTGTTTCACAAACAAATGGCTGGATTTGGTACCTACACAACTTGATTACGCAATGTGTTGCTATTTCTAACTTCTCTGAAGTCATTGCATGTTGTGGGGTCAGTACGAAACCACATCTGCTGCACTAGGAGTGCCTGGGCAAGGCGGGTACAATAGTGGGAACGTTGTCTTCTGAGAGAGTTCAAAGTTTGACTTTGAAATATTGTACATATTTTATATATATATATATAATTTGTGTTTATATGTTCTTGTTTGCTGAACTGATTGTAGCAATGATTTTAAGAAAAGTGGGGAACTGCATCTGGTGGGGAAATGTTCAGTACAATGAAAACTGAATACCACTCAGGTGTGGAAATCAGGGAGTAACATAATATCCTCAGTTGCCTTCTTCATTCTCTCCCTGCCAAGGCAAGGTCAACCAAAACCTGCTGTTTGGATTGTTATGTTTGTTCACAATACCAAAGATATTTAGAAATTCTTTTAGAAGGATGCAGTATAGTTCTTCACAGTAAGTTTTCAGTGCTTTAGAGGAAATATTTAAGATATATGCTTCCACTTCAGGGTATTTGGTTTGATGGATATATTTATTACATATGTGAACTTCTCATGTGTGACGGGAGTGAAAAGTGTGTGTATTCAACAAGCTGCAAAATCTCTCCATCCACGATGTGGACAGTGACGTTTGTGCCTGTAATGCCACAATTGGATTTTAAACGTTTCATGACATCTAGCAATTACAAATATTTGCTGCAAATGCTCTGCTAGTTTGTTCATGATGTGCTAGAGCCCCAACTTGTCCTGAATAGCAATATGCAACCAAACGTACATTTTTATCTCTAAAGATAGCTCTATTTATGACTGGCAAGTTGTCTTTGCACTTTCTGAATGCATGCAGGTACGCCTAAATGCCTCATGCAATACATACTTTGTATGCTGAAAAATTGCAGTTTGATTAACAGATTGTGTCACCCAAAAGTAGGGTGAAGACTTAATTGCTTCAGAAGTTTCCCATTTTCTTCCATGGAGAGCATTCTTTACACTTTTTTTCATTCCCATGTCTTTTGTCTGTGTGTGTGACTTTTTACAGGACTCCTGTTAAGACACTTTGGGGTCAGAGCCACAAATCATTATGGAGTAATTAGCTCTTGGGTGTCAACTGCCTGCATACAGGCTGTTAGTGTGCTAAGAAGAAATTAATATTGCAGGATATGTTAACTCAGACTGCCTTCCGTTCACTGCAGGCTGAGAGCGTGTAAATGAACGAAGCTTGTGCATGACCTACTAGCTAAGTTTAGTGCCCTGGGTTAATTAATAGTGCATTCAAGCATGTCGATAGCATATTCATAAACACTATACAGAACAACATTCTAAAATTTGTTAGACTCTGTGCATGTGTTATAGCATTTTGTTTTTAAATGCTCCAGTGCTTTGGCTTTTACCCATTAATTCTGGAAACTTGTTCGCTTCAAAAATGCAAGCTGAGGAATAATAGGATGTGGAAAAATGATGAAATATAATGCTGCTTTTAGTAAGAACTGTGTTGGATTTTGAATGCTGGAAAATTTAAAATCAGCACTTTTCACCTAACATTAATAGATTATTTTGTGATGAACTACCTTTTTAGTAAGATAAAAATGGGGCTAAAGAAATACTAACTGAATGCTTGTACAAGTTGTATGATGGTAAATGGGTTGTATGATCTTAGGGACAGAATTTTCAGATTTAGAATTGCATTTTACTTTTAATGGGTGTGTATTGGATTGCGTTTCTGTTTACTGTATTTCTTGGGCCACAAGGTGCTTAAAAGAAAAATTGTAGACAAAAAAAAAAAAAAAAAAAAAAAAAAACAAAAAACAAAAAAAAGAAGGAAAAAGACAAGGAAGAATAAGCAGGGAAAATACCACTGTGTTGATGCACTGAAACATCTGACAGGCCAAAGCAAAGTCAGTTGGTCATGTATTCGTCATGTCATTGCACAGCTCCTGATTGGGATTGTCTTGGATGGGTCTTCATTGGCTTTGGAGAATTTGTAGTTGTGGATTCTTCAGTCTGTTGTTGGATTTGTTCAGTCATTTTAGCCTCGCAGTGATCACTGTGCTTTCATTTCTGGAAGCTCCAGTCTGATTTAGAGGATGCCACTGCAATGTTGTCATAATCTCACCTCGATGAAGTGACAGGAATTGCAACACATCTGTGCTCAGAAATAAATTTCTGATGGTTGTAATCTTGGATGGGAGATGTAAGTAGGTGAGGCTGTCATTTATGGGAACTCAATTGCCTGTGCCCTCTGTAGCTAGGCTTTGCAGGTTTCCATGTGGATCACAGGCATGGCGAACTCATTAAAATCTTGGAAATTGCTGATACTGATGAGTTGGGGATAGGAAATTTGAAAGAGGAGAATTGTCACATAGCCAGTAAAGTTCTTGCTGGAGTCACCACGGCTGGGGTAGCTGTGAGGAGGTTACAGCTGGTGCAGTGTCTCATCTCACTGTTTGTTTATTTTCTCTTTGGGAGACCTCATGTAGCTTTCCCACAGAAACAGCTCCACTGAAAGCTAATGTGATGTATAACAAACAAACTAAAAGCCTGCATATTCTTATCTTTGCTTTGGAAAGCCTTCCCTCTTTATGTATATCAATGTTATGGAAAACTTATTTTGCCAAGGAGCTGGTGACTGCTTGGTAGGTGGCAAAGAAAGAAGCTTCAGGGAGGAAAACGATTGTGGGGTTTCTGTGTTTAGATTGCAAACATATTAAAGAAATTTGAAGAATAATGCAAATGAGGGTAAAAGTCTCTTGAAGTTCACCAAAATTTACTGTATGTTAAATGAGGGCTTTTTCTTCTAGATTTGCATAAGGTCAAATCACAGCATTGTACAATTGAGCTAAAGTTAGCCATTGCCAGTTGTAATTTTATACTCATGCGAGCGAGTGACCTAAGTTGTAAGAGTGTAGGCTCAGTAGTGTAGCCAGCGAAAACATCTCAATGTCCACAAAACAGCTTAAGTGGATTATTTTATTTATAAAAGCTGATCAAATTAGGACAGGTACAAAAGGGAAAATACGTAAAATAAGCTTTCTAAGGAAATTATTGGAATAGAAATTTATTTTAATGTCAGGCACTTTTTTTTTTTTAAAACTAATATTTAAAATTGAGGTTCTGGTAACTATTCAAACTATGAAATAACTGTTTTGCTCTTAAGGTTTACCCTGTAATCTCCAGGCTCTTACTGAGCCTCTGAGAATCAAAGGTGTCCTGCCAGGGTGTCTCATGTAAGTTGGGAAGTTGAGTATAGGTAAGTATATTGTCCAGACCAGTCTGGCTTCGCTGAATAGTGTGATTTGCAGAGTCCTCATGTTTTGCTAATTCTGTTAGGTGAAAAGAGACTGAAAAGTGGGGTTTCTGGTTTTGACTTCTCAGAGGTTTGTGCCTATTCCTACCTGCTGCAGTGGAAGAGGTTTCTTGGGAGAGTGTCACCCAAGCGCTGTAGACCATTTATGGAAGTCTGGTTCCATCACAGCTGCCTTTAGACATTTCGAGCCTTTAGATATTCATCTGAATAACTCTAGTTCCAGGAAAACTAAGGATCACAGGGTTTCTAAGAAGGGAGGGAACAGATTAAAATGAACAAAGCCATCTGAGGAACACATTGAAAGTGTTGGCTGTTAAAGCCAAGCAGATTTGATGAAGTCAAGGTCCTGTCTGCAAACCATTTACTGCTGCAAACCAGTGTGTCCTTGCAGGAGTACACTGGTGAAAATAAGCTTGCTCCAGTTCATTTGTACCCCCACTTTGGTGGAGGCTGGTTCTCCCAGTGCCACATTCTCAGCAGGGATGTGGCTGGCACAGAGTATCAATGTACTGGAAATTCAGCAGAGGCAAGATCTGTTCCGCCCAGTTTGATCAATGAGCAATGGTATGTTTCTCTTTTTGTTTCCTGGAAAAAGGTCTTTCTCATAGAAAATTCCCAGTGCTTTCTGGCTCCTTTTACATAGTCATTTTAGAATAGGCCAGCCCGGTTACCAGAGCATTTTAGTAATGTGACACTTGATCATGTGTATCTTCTGTGACAAGTAGATACTATTCTTTATGCAACTACCAACATGCCTTCTGGTTCTGGATTTGTCAATATCTTCTGTGACAAGTAGATACTATTCTTCATGCAACTACCAACGTGCCTTCTGGTTCTGGATTTGTCAGTTCCAATTTCCTTTCCTTTACTGAATAGTACGCTGCATCTTTGATTTTGCTTGTTTCAGGAGAGTTGTAAAGAGTCCCCGTGCTGCTGTGCATGCCAGGTAGCCTTCTGCCATGTGTTGAGCTACACTTGAGTAAATAACTTAGTGGTAGTGTCTCTGAATTCTCTTGAATGTAAATTTCATGTGTCTGATGTTCAAAAAATAGAGGTAACCACCAACAGGAAGCACTGCAAATACAAGTTGTTCCATTAGCCATGCAGCTGTCGTGTGCAATGGGTTTTTGGGGTTTGTGGGAAATCCTTTACTGGTACTTTCCCCTAAACTCTTATAGGTATCTTTTTTGTAGCAGAATAGTTTGCTTTTTGTTTTGTTTGTGTATTTTATTGTTGTTGTTCTTTTTTAAACAGCTAATAGCTTAAAGAGTTTTTATCTTGTTAAGTCTTTGAATGAGTGCAGTAATGCCTCAAGATTATTCATATATTCTTTAAGTCTGGCTTTAATGCACAGGAGTAAGAGGATCAGGTAAATGAGATTAGGGCAATAGACAAAAGTGAATGAGACAGCAGGAGAACAAGGGGCAAGGAGAAACCATGCTAATCATTATTTGAATGGGTTTTGAGCAACCAGTGTTAGAACAGTAGTCAGGAGGGTGAAACTGGTAGTGAAAGTGAGTTAACTGGCTGTGGTGCTAATAGTGGTGGGAAAAATGGAATCTATCATTGTAGCAGCAGTAAAACGGGGAGGACTCTCTGCATTGATAATGTAGAGATTAAAAAGTATCCATTCTTCTAGGAGCTGCAAACATGAAAGTGAAAGAAATGAAGTAGCGTTCTGTGCTCCTGCAGTAGATCAGAAGCAAATAAGAAGGCATAGTAAGGATAAAAATATGACAGGCACCAAAACTGCTTTTGAGAGTAAATAAAATGGATTCTTCTCAGGGTGTGCTCTAAATCTCCCACCTTTTGTTGGTTCTACATAGATAATTTGCTAAAAATCTGTGAATTCCCTTTTAAGTCAAGGGAGTGTGGTTTGAGGAAAGCAGGATGATGAAATAGTCTGGATAGAAACTTATTGACCATGCTTTAGAATCTGATGTTCGGCAAACATGATGTTATAAACATAGGGAAAAATGCCTAAAACCAAATGCCCAAATTAAGTAACCCATGTGTTACATGGTCATGTAAGAGTAGTTCAAAGCTATCAGCAGACAAAATACTATATCTGAAGAGTCTCAGTTCAGGGAATCTCATTGATTTCACTGGAACTTGAGTTAAAATATTACTTTTCTGTATAGGAAAATCATAGAACGGTATGGAAGTTGTTAATTTGGCTTGCCTCCTATTGCCTAAATTTTTCCACACGTATCTATCAAAGACTTATTTTTTTAACAAAAATCCCAGGATTGGATCATGATGATGATGATATAAAAGATAGATTTGTGACAAGTTAATGTTTTTCATATGTTTACATTTTGTGGGACAAAGAAAGGCTTTCGTCAGTCTGAACTAACTGAACTCAGCTGAATCTTAAAGGCAAGGAAACAACAGAGATGTCTCCTTGCATTTGACAATTTTACTAATGTTTTTATGCCATTTGAGTTGTGATCTGAAGATAGCAATGTCTTGGAGATATTACTACTTGGGAAAGGAAGTGTTTCTAGTGAGCGAGATGTTTTAGCTCAAGTTTTGAAGAGGTCATAGGGTAAGGGTTCCTCTTTGACTAGGATGCATGTGCATGCTTGTATTTCTGTGGGAATGAACATTACTTCTTAATGTCAACTTCACTAAGGTACTTACTTCTCTGCAGGTAGTGAAGGCAAGCAAAGATACAAATGTTTACACTTTGCCAAAAAGTAGAACCTGTGTGAGAGTGGTGTAAGTGGAAGAAGGACCGGGGCTTTCTTTTGCCAGTCGGAAAGAGAAATGCTGTGCCTCAAATGAATCATTTGAAATGCATTTTGGAGACATGAGGTGTGTTCATATTCTAAGGAAGAAAAAAAGAAAACAGAAAAAATTCCCAACACCCTCACGCTTTTAACATGGATCATAAATAAGTGTTCTGACCTTGAAAGTAGGGAGGTCATCACTTAAACTGAGGTGTCTCATTCCCAGAAGGCTGATGAAATTTTCTGCTTGCAAAATTACAGCTGTCATTGTCCCTTCATTAAAGGGACAAAAATAGAGTTTTTGAGTGCAAGTTAGAGTGTCTGATTTAAGATTGGATGTCTTTCTGAAATTTTCCTGGTTCAGTCATTGTCTAGATGTAGGAGTTGTAGCATGAGGTTTTTGAGATTTTGTATGGGAGGTTGGACTGTGGTTGTAATTGTCTCTCATCACCCTTAAATCTGCAAAAATATCATGAAACATAAGTGTAAAATAAATCATGTTTGGTTGAATATAGTGACTTTTCTGTCCTGTTTTATTTAAAAAGCAGTTGATCTGTCATTGTTGAAGGTTTTGATGATGTGGAAGCTGGAGGGGGATAGTTGAGCTCTACAAACAAAAGTTTTGGTTATTTAATTTAAAATATTCTATTATTTCATTCGAAGTTTGAGCAGTGGGAATAAAACATCTCACGCATTACTAGAGAAAAGTATGAATACATGCTCAGAGTATCTTGATGGATGGTTTGTTAATGAAACTGGTAAGACTTTTGTGCTGTAATAAAAATGTCTAAATTCAATATGTTCTTTTTAGAACTTTTGCCAAAATAATCTTCTTTTTTTCTGCTATCATAGTAAATTGCTTAAATAGAAGACACATGTATATTAGCATTCCAGCTTGAGCTAGGGGCTAACATTGTGGCAGTATTTTTGTGGTGATAAAGTAATGTTATTGAAATTTGCTGTACAAATATTCTTCATTGAAATCAAAAGCTGTAAGTTCTGATATCCTTAGCCAGGCTGACATCAGCAAAGAATTTGATTAATCTTTTTTCTTGTTTTGCTAGAATAACCCCTACACCCCTAGGAGAGGGGAAGAGCACAGTCACAATTGGTCTTGTTCAGGCACTTACTGCACACCTTAACATTAATTCCTTTGCTTGTCTGAGACAACCTTCCCAAGGACCTACTTTTGGAGTTAAAGGTACATTATATTTGCAGACTCTATGACCTCTTTCAGATTAAAAGGAAATACTGCTCTGCTCTTTTGTATGCTTTTTTTTTTCCAATTCCTTAGTTACTTCACTGACAGTGGATTGTCTGAATGGTAGCGTATTGGATTTTTTTGATAAGTATATAACTAATAGATAAAGGTTTCTTGCACATGTCTTCCTATGCAAGGTTCATATCTATGTTCATGTACTGAATGTGTATTGATAATGTAGATAAAGCCCAAACATAATGAAAGGCATGGGGGTATGTTAGGATATGTTAGCCAGGAGGAGTTTTGTGCAAGTACATACCCTTCCAGCCACTCCTCTGCTTGGAGACTCTCTGAAGATGTCTCTAAATGTTGCTGCTTAATTCTTCCCTGAGAAGGAGTCCTAAATCCACACATATTGATTGGAAATATCCGAGCTAAGGAGGCTGGCGTTTAGGTGTATGGTTCAGCTGTGTCTGCATCATACATTACTCTAGGTCATCTAGGTCTGGACCTCTTCTTGTTCTGAGCTGTCGAACCTAATTGTGGGCTGCTGCCTTTTTGCCTAGAGAGCCTTTAAGAGCCAGCCAGAGTTCAAGCCTGTCTTCAATGCTGCTAGGAAGTAATGCAATCTTTTTTTTTTTTTTTTGCCATTTCTCAGCTGAGATTGGTGCCTAACTGGGCAAGCACTCCTCATCTGCTCTACTTTGCTTTGCTGAAGTTTAAGTTAACAAGTTTGATTTCAGCTGGAAGGCTCCTGGTGCTTGGTGCTTCTCAGCCAAGACTGGCGCACGTGAGTGCTTTAATCCCTCCACTCAGCTTGTGCGTAGGCTGCAGTGAACTCTTTTGCCCGTACCCTGAGAGGCAGTGGGGAAGGAGTGCTCAGGCAAGGGTGTGAAGGTTTCATTCAGAAACAGTGCTTACTCATGACTGCTACGTCTTTTCACCCAACAGCTGCATGCGCATGACTGTGTCCTAAATCTGGGCAAGAGCAGAGGGTAGCCCTTATGTAGCCAAAGTCTGGGCCAGCCATCCTGTGTAGGCTTTCATGTCAGACCAGGAATTCCCTTTTTACTGCCTGCTAAAGAATGCCAGCAAGGTTTAAGGAAATTCTGTTTATTTGGTTGCATCATTCATCCCCTAATAGAAATGAAAATGCTGAGAAGTGTGTCATCAATGCTGTGTGTTTCACTTTGTGTGTTTAAGCATGTTCTTTTTTCAAAGCTCGGGTGAGTCTGATGTGACCATATGCTTTCCTGTGCAGGTGGAGCAGCTGGTGGTGGATATGCTCAAGTGATTCCCATGGAGGAGGTGAGATGGGGGTGGGGGACGGCAATTCCCTGTCCCTCTGGGAAGGGTGGGCAGGCCGAGGGTAGTGGCTGCAGCACTTGGTTGGTGGCAGTGGTCTTCCTGGAGAATTGAGGTGGTCCCGGCCATCTCCACGTGCCTACTGTGTGACATGGAAGGGCTGCGAGTGGGAGTGCAAAAACATTATTGCACAGATACTATACATGTTTGTAGCATCTTGGCTGTTCTTCAGATGCTTCCTGAGAAGAAAGCCCCCTACCCACACGTAATGTACAAGACAAAGAGCTGGCTACTGCTAATTTTTTCCTTTTATATCCACATCTATTGCAAAAGACAATGAGAAAGCATTACTTTTCTTGTGGAGTAGAAAAAGGCAGGGAGGCCTGGGGCTGGTGGGTTGAGGAAATTTATTTTTCAAATGTAAATTTAATATTTCTTTTTAGCAGAAGTTACTGAGTAGCAAAACAAACTTGGTTTTAGCCAGGCTGATCCTCCTGTGGGTAGTGTGAGAGATGGCCAGAATACTGTGGAAGGGTGAATTCTCCCATGGCTAGCAGAAAGCTGGCATACACCAATTAGTAAATACTGACAGTAAACTGATTTAGTATTAATGATGTGGAACCGTAGCCCTGGGCTTTTCATTCTTGGATCATTTAGGAAAGAATAAAGACATTTGTGGCTTTGTTTGGCTAAACTAAGGGTAGTTTACCATGTACTCGCTGAAAACAAGTCCTTCATATGGCTCGCTGTGTTTTCAGCCTGATAATATTTAATCTGCACTGATAGGTGACTAATCAGAGCTGCAGCCTCAAGGAGATAGCAACGATTGTTGCTCCTAATCTGTCTGAGATTAATAAACTGAGTTAAATTGTTTGTTATTAAAAGATTTTTTTGTTTTCACCTCCTAGTTCAATCTTCATTTGACTGGAGATATTCATGCTATAACTGCTGCAAATAATTTGCTGGCTGCTGCTATTGATGCTAGGATCTTGCATGAGAACACTCAGTCTGATAAGGTGGGGGTTATTTTCTGATATCCACATGACGTTTTTTCTTTTCTATTTGTCAATAAACTGCATTTAAAAGCAAAATAAGTTGATTATCTTTTTATATTTTCAATGTGTGAACAGAAACTATTGCTGAAACCATTCTATGTTCTGCTGGGAAATTTTGCTCGTAGAATATATTTTTCTGACAAATACCTATCATAAGGTAGCCTTTAATATAAGGTTCTTATGCCCAGAACATTGTCAGCTATTTCAGACTTTCTCTATATATAATCTTATTCTTTTTAATAATTTAAAATTGAATAATTTTAAAGTTAAAAATTACACTTCTGATGTATAGTTGCATATGATGTACCTTTAAAAGAAGGGGTTGTGAGGAAAATAAACTAAATGCTTTTCCCTCCACTAAATCTGTTGTGACCTTAGCACAAATGCTAACTTGAGTCTTTAAAGGGAAGGGAGAAAGTAAAGGAAGAAGTCTTGTTTTTTGGCTACAGTGTTAAAACTGAGCAGAGTTGTCATATCCCCTTTACTTGTTATGACACAAATGTGCATTTAGGCTGGTTTGCTAATGGTAGTTATAGTTTGAATAGTTTAGACCTTGGTCAAAGTTCTAAAGGGTTCCAATTTCAAAAATACTACATATTTTTTTGGTGAAACATAGAAACACAGTAAATTTGGTAATTGGATTTAGGCCGTTAAATGGTAGCGATTGCTCAAAAGCCTCTCAGAGTTGTTTTTTAAATCACAAAGCACGTAAGTCCTCAATTTATGTGTCTGGGAAATTCTTACTGAAATTACTCTGAATAAAATAAAAACATTAGCTTTTTATTTAACTAGTTACTGGTTGTAACTTTTCTTTCATTAACTTCTCATTTGTTTCTTCTAGGGTTTGTATAATAGACTGGTTCCAGTGGTTAATGGCGCGAGAGGATTTTCTGCTATTCAGCTTGCCCGTCTGAGAGTAAGTTGTTAATGTAGTCTCTCCTCAATTATAGTATCTCTTCATAAAACGTACTCTCTTATGCAACTTGTTTTAAATTATTTGGTGTATGGGACTGAGTTTGTATAAACCTCCCTCATGAATCAAGTCCAGACTTTTTTCTGAAAGCATCGTACTTGAAGTAATAGGATCTGGGTTTGATATTATTTTCATAACTAACATTTTTGCTATTATTTTCTCCTGAAATAAACCAATAATGTTTTTAAATACTGTGTCTTTCTTGACGAAATATTAGAGTTTTTAAAATAGTTTCCCTATTATAGTAAAGTCATGTTTGAAAGCTCACATTCTTTGGTTTTGCAATATTTTCTGCTTTTGAAAGTTCTTTATAGCATATACTTCTGGGGTTTTATTGATGTTAATTTGACAGTGTTCTTCCTTCAAGGGTTAGAAGTACATTTGTGTGCATAATGTATTTTTGCATCTCATGATGGTTCCTGAATGCTTCCAGAAGAGCTTCCTGTGCAATTCAGATATGAATACTGTATCTGGATTGGAGGCTGCTATTATAAATAAGTAGAGAGCAACGTAGTCCACTAGCATAGGGGAAGGAGAATAGGAACCCCTTGAATACAACCCTTTAGAATGGCTTCAGTCTTTTGCATCCTGTTCCATGTTTATTGTTGACTTTTGACTTCAGAGTCACCAAATGGCAATGGATAGCTGCCAAGTGCGCGCTTGGAATTGGGGGGTGGAAAGGAGGATAGAGCTAATACCAACTTCTGTTCAGGGAAAAAAAAAAATTCTCATAACATTTTAAGTTTTTGTGCTGCCATTTGCATGCCAAGTAAACTCAAATGTGGATGATGCCTGCTTAACTCTGTGGCAGACTGGATCTCACAGAATTTTCCATCAGATTTTTTAAGTATTTTCATAGAATCATAGGATGGTTTAGGTTGAAGGGACCTTCATAGAATCATCACAGAATCATCAAGGTTGGAAAAGACCTCAAGGATCATCAAGTCCAACCATCAACCCAACACCACCTAACTCACTAAACCATGTCCCGAAGCACCACATCTACACGTTTCTTGAACACCTCCAGGGATGGTGACTCCACCACTTCCCTGGGCAGCCTGTCCCAATGCCTGATCACTCTTTCAGTGAAGAAATTTTTTCCTAGTATCTAGCCTAAACCTCCCCTGGCGCAATTTGAGGCCATTTCCTGTTGTCCTATCACTTGTTACTTCAGAGAAGAGGCCAGCACTTAAACTCCATCTAGTTCCAACCCCCCTGCCATGGGCAAGGACACCCTCCACTAGCCCAGGTTGCTCAAAGCCTCATCCAACCTGGCCTTGAACACCTCATCTAAGGTGGTTTGTCCTTGTTTACATTGTGTGTAGAGTAATGGGTAGGGGAGGAGGGGGGAGTATTTCATTTGTTCATGACATACCAACTATCTCTGCAGCTGAAATGGATTTCTGTCTCTTCACATGAGCTGCAACTCAGTAAAAAAAGTTTGACTTTATAACATTCAAATACATGTATTGTAATTTCCAGTAAAATTGAATTATTTTGATGTGAATTATTTTTAGTAAAATTGTTCCTTATACCTAAAAAAAAAAAATCAAATGTAAAAAAAAAAAAATCTTCATGGTATAGGGTTACACTTTTTTTCAGAAGAGGATTATTAAGATTGAAACTCCTCCCTTATGCGTGTGGTTAGGACTTGTAGTTGCCAAAAAAGTCATGCATGTTTTTTTTCAAACTCCTTATCTAACATCAGGAGCTACCTTTCTCCTTCCCCTGCTCCTCAGCTTTTTTCCCTTTTCCCCAGTAGTTATTAGCCTGAGACCTCCTTACTCCTTACCTTACCTCTGCTCTTTAACTGCTTCTGTCCCAGTCTTTTCTTTGTCTCCTTTGCCATGTCAGCTCTGTGTCTTACTTACTTCCATCTGCATCCCAATCAGTCAGCTTTTTTCTTGCTGCTTAGATCCAGTATAGACATTGTTGAGACCCTGGGAGGGAAAGGCTGCTTCCTTTGCAGTTCCAGTGCCCAGCACTCCTTGAAGCAATTGAAAGATATAAAAATGACTGAAAATTTTGCTGTCAAACCTCAGTGGAAAAATGCTCTGGGAAAAATGCTCTGGAAAAATGTATCTGGGCAAATGCCTGCTACACCAAACAGGAGGGATGAGCACTGAACTCTGGCTTGCCATCCCCCAGTAGAGATGCAAGTGGGATACTGCGCCTTTCTCATTGTACCTATTTTCATAAAATTTGCCAGAAACTGTCTCCTAACTGTGTCAAATTGTGTTAAAATTGGCCAACAGATCAGAAAAATATTAATACATAACTGGCAGTTGACTACATAAGCCTTTCTTCATTAAAACTGGGGTGAAAAATCTTAGGGCACCAAGTATCGAAACCTGCAAGCTGTTCTCAGCTTTTTGCCCTTCTCAGTACAGTGGGAAATGCCCCAGTGCCTGCATCTAGATTTGAAAGCATCCCTTGCAGACTGAGAGAGCAGTCCTCAAAAAGGAACATCACGAAAACAGTTCTAATACTCTCAGGAGGATGTCCCCAGCTTTCTAGAAATAACTGTTGGTTTAGATAGGGAAGTAACTATGGTAGCTCTTTGAGTATTTTTAGACTTTAGATTTGGTTTATTTTTAGTCCTGAAGTGTAAGCGTATTGGTTAATTCACTGTGGAATGCTTTCTGATTCCAGAGAAAATTAAGATTTATTTTTTTTTAAGACTACAGTTCTTAAACACAGTTTTCTGATCTATCTTTATGTAGATTCACCTAAAAAAAGATTTGATGTTGCTGAAACAGTGAATCTGTAAAAGCCAGGAGGTATTGGCTCATTCATTATATGTGACTGAGTTTATGGACGATTAGCTCTTAAAGTAGAAGTTTTTATTTCAGTCAGAGATGATTGGCACAGGACAACACATGGGTCTTTCAAAGATTTCCGTAAACTAGAGCAAGTAATTAATTACCTTGTTAGTAACTGATAACATTGAATTTTCTCTTTGGTTTACATTAAGAATTTATTCTGTGTAAGAAAGAGATTGTTAGCCTATGCGTATTTCTCCTTTTTTGTTTAATTTCTCCATCTATATTTGCCCCTATTTTAGTTACAGGTGGTTTCCTATGTGTTGTGGTTTTTTGTTTGTTTGTTTGTTTTGGGTTGGTTGGTAGTTTTTTTTTTTGTTTGTTTGTTTTTTTGGTTTTTTTTTTTTTTTTTTAACATGGTTTTGGTCCTGGCATGCTTCTTCCAAAATGCTTGTTGAAAGTGGGGGTGATAAACCACAGCAGCTGTACCTTTTAAAGCAAAAAAGCCACTTCATTGCATTTCTTTAACTTGTTCTTGCGTAGAGGCTGGGAATAAACAAGACTGATCCTGGGACTTTAACGGAAGAGGAGATCAGCAAATTTGCACGCCTTGATATAGACCCATCTACCATAACATGGCAAAGAGGTATGCAGTCAGAACGCCTCACTTCAGCTTGGATTTAATCATAACTTTTTTTCCTAATTTGCTTAATTTTACCTGAATCAGAGCTGTTTCTTCTGTATGACTGTTGGAACAGCGCATTTGCGAGTGGGAAATAGGGGTGCATAACAAATTTGTGTGCTCTAAACTTGGTTAAATATCTGCAGTAACTCAAGAGACTTGCTGATCTTCTGAAGGATAGGTTGCTCTGAGAGTTTAAGTACATCCCTGTCTCTCTCGCATTAGATAATACATCTTAAAACATATGAAAGTAGCTTTTCTGTGCATTTTATGAATCTTATCCGTTCTTTTCTTAACTGTGTCTATTATGGTTTTAGATTACTTATACTTACTCTACTTGATTTTGGTCCTTCAACCTTTTCAGCTCAGCAGCCTGGATAGCTCAGAGACTAAATATGCCTCAGTGATTATGTGATTTTTTTAAAGTGTCTTGAGTTGTTTGCTTTGTTAGGAAGAAGAAGTGAAATATGTGGTATGGTTTCAACTATGTATGCCAAGCAAACCAACATCCACTCTCACACCCTTAGACAACTCCCGTGTGCATTTTCCAGTTTCAGTGCTAGGTTAAATTTCAGTGTTTACCTCAACTTCTGTATCTCTTTTTTTAAGCAAGCAAACTCTGCATAAATTTTGAGCAAAATTCCATTGGACTTTATTTTTTTCCCAAGTTCTCAAACACCAAAGTTATTAGTTCAGAATCATTGTTAAATGGAATGTATTGTGGCCGTGCTTTACTGTGCCCTTTGTGCGCATGTCATCTCAGACTTCAGATATTTTTCTCAAGATAATACTGGGGGATGTGGCATAAGATGTTTTTTATTAGTCACACTGTGTCTGCATGGAAGAGACCTGTATTAGGATGAAAGAATAATAGAAATATTTAGTATAATGTGACTCATTGTTTTTATCAACATGGTTGGGGAGGATGCAACATTGCTCAACTGCTGTTAACCTCAAGTGAGTTGTTTAATTCATCTCAAACAACGTTAGTGCAATTTTTATTCCACACAACTCTATATGGTATAGATATCTCAAACATTTCATTAAAAAATGTTTTTAGGATTGTTTCAGATAACTTGGAAAATGTTTTATTTGGGACTGTTTCTGCAATCTGTAAGTCTGTGAAGCTTGTTATGTATCAGGGAATTTGTAGGACAGAAGAGAAAGCTATCAGACTGTCTTAAAAAATAATTTTTGTCAGGACCTGTTTCACTAGAAATGTCACAGGCTTAAAGTTTATTGTCATCTTATGCTAACTTGAACAGGTACAACTACTTATTGTTCCCCTGGTATTCAGATCCTGTTTATATCTCTAGAGGATAAGGAAGTAGATACATTAAATCTAACACTTGGTTGAACCTTAACTTTCCTGAAACGTTTACTTTGGGTAAGGAAGAAGGAAAATCTGGAGAAGGAAAAATTGCTTTTGTGGCAAAACCAGTTCTTTCTTATTTTACTACTTCTAAGGGCAGCTAGTGGAATCTTCCTGAACAAACAAATTCTGACTGTGGTAAGAAAGCCAGTGTGTCCCAATGACCAGAAAGAGTTGCAGGGGCAGTTATAATTTCATGATAAGGGTGTTCAGGTTATGTGTTTTCACTAGGAAGAGACAGATAAAAAGCAGCCCGCTGGCTGTGCAGGCTGGTGGGAAGGCCAGTTCCAGCTTTCAGCAGAGCCTGGGTGGGCAGGTAAGACACTGAGGTCTGCTTAAGGCTTCTTGTGAGACTGAGCTTTCTAAGAGGAGAAGGGGTAAGTTTGTGCTTGAGAAATAAGATCAGCTTACCATATGGCTTCACGGTGGCATATGGTACCACAGCTTGTTATGAGGCTACTGCTTCCATGTACTGGGCTCCGTTCTGCAATTTCTGCCAGTACTGCAGTTTTTTAGAGTATGACTGTATATAAATAGAAGCCAAAAATGAATTAACCAAATCTGTGTTGCACCATCCCTTACATGGAATTCCTAAGGAAATCAGGTGTCTGAATACCATGTAGTGGGAAGAAGGCATGTCTGGTATTTACAACAGCCCCATGAGAAATACCCAAGAAGGGAAAGTGGCTTAAATCTTGCTTTTCTCCCAGCTTGCTCACAACCCTGAATTGGGGTTGTGTAGGACAGAGATTCAAAGTGAGGAGGTGATTTCACTTGCCTTCAGAATCTCTGGAGATTCTTTCATTCTCTGCCACTAAATGAACAGGGGTCAGATTTACATCTACCAGAAGATTGACTTGATTGCCAAGCTACAGGCTGAACTGATCAAGAGTGCCTTCCACTCTTTTAGGGTTGGTGTAAATTTAAACATCTGTAGGGCTAAAGAGCCTCTAAGAAAGCGGAAGCCTATTTTTGTGTTCTGTAGGGATTGCCATTCCTGAGAAGGAGAGGTCTTGGTTTGGTCTTGTTTTCTAACAAACAGAAACATCCTCCTAATATTTCTTCCTAAGAAACATCCTGATCAGTTCTCAGAAGATGAGAGAGGTTTTTGATTATTCTGAGTATTGCCTTTCAGTTCGTACAAAAGCATGTTTGAACTTGAGTGGTGGTCCGTGCAGAATCGGAGAACTTGGCTTGCGATGATTGTTAGTGAAGTTAGCAATTCCACAGGATGGTTTGGACATGCCCTTGCAATACCAAGAGTGTTTCCAGGTTAGAAATACAATTGTCTGAAATTGAAGTTGTGCTAAATAGCAGATGGTCGGTCTTGGCAGTTGAAAAAAATCTTCCTTTGAATGCTGTGCAGCTGAATGTGGAGTTAGTTACTGTGATGTACAAGAAAGTCTGGAATAACCAATCTGACAACATAATCATCCTTTAAAAGAGAAACAGACCAAGTTTAACCTACATCATGCAGTCTTAAATTCAATTCTTAACAAGTCTGCGATGAAGCAAGTGGTTTGAGGTAGGTCTGAGGTGCATTGTACCTATTAAGACAGGTTTTTCTTATGTAGGTAAAATATTAATTTATACATTAGAATGTTAAGAATCTGTTATCTTCAAATACTGTTCAGAGGAATTGTATCTGAGTTATTTCAACCTGTCATCTAATGGTATCAGCTAGAAGGGAGAAACCAAGTCAGTAGCTGAATCTTACATGTATAACAACAGGGATGGCTGTAAAAACATCCAGATCCTTGAGTCCTTGTTAACGTGTTTCTTTTGCTGTTCCCTTATTTCAGTGGTGGATACAAATGACAGATTCCTGCGCAAAATAACAGTTGGGCAGGCAAATACAGAGAAAGGATTTGTCCGTCAGGTATGTAGAAGCAGTTCATATATCTCATTCTCAACAGAATTTGCTTTAGAGGCTGAGAGATGTTTCTGCAATTCTTTCAGCATACTTCTTTGAATAGCAATGCTAACGTCTGTTGCTGTTGTATAGTGTTCTTGCAGTGAGACTGATTTTGTTAATGACTGAGCCTGATGTTTCAGAAACAGAAATCAATGAATATTGCACACTGTGTTGAAAGCACTTGAAAAAAATTACACGTTAGGGGTTCAACGTTGTTGTCCTATTCATATAAAAGTTGCCCTTAGGCCCTCATAATATTATGGTCTGTGATTTTTCTTGCTTTTTTTAAGTCCCTCAAACTATCTATGTAGTATTTGTGTAATATAAATTACATTTAAGTGTCGTGTTAAAAAACTAGGGAGAAAGGAGAGTCACGTGTTGTTGGACCCATTGGTGAGGACTTAAAATGACCATTAGCTTTTTATTCAGTTTTTATTTCCCTCTCATGCATCTCAGCTTTGGGATTTAAACTGTAAGAACTTTGGGCATCTGTTTAATTTTCATATGTGGCCTTGAAGGGACAGCTTAGAAAATGAGCATGTGTGTACTTTTCAGCAGTGTGAAAAGCTAACCTACATTACTGTGTGAGAGCTTCTGCAAGTTTATTAAAGAATTTACCGGTAAATTGAAAGCCAGACTTTTCCAACACTATCTGAACAAGTGTTCCTGGTGTTGTGTGGGTAAATCCATTTCTGAAACTATGTAGTGTGGAACAGCAATTCCAGGTGGAAGAAACTCATTGTGGTGATGTGAAGTTGCTCCTAATTCGATGAAGATATGGTAATCTAACACTCTGGATCATGACATTCATAAGGTTCTGGCTCTTTCGAGGTGAAGTAAATAGCTATTGTGGTAGAGATAAGGCTTTTATTCGTTTTGGAAATCCTGTCTTTAATTTTTCTTTATCATTTCAGACCTCTTCTAGGCTTTGTGCCTAAAAAAAGAGACCAAAAAATAGTGCTAATGTTTTTGCTCAATTCAGCAGGTGAAACAGTCAAGCTGGAGAGAAGAACTTGAGAGAGAAATTAGAGAATTGTAGAATGGTTTGGGTTGGAAGGGACCTTAGAGATCATCTAGTTTCAGCCCTCCTGCTGTGGGCAGGGACACCTTCCACTAGAGGTGCTTGCTTGTTTTGGTTTTGAACACACAAGGTAGAGACTTTTCTGTCTATAACTTCAGAAAACACAGTATTAGCTAATACTTATCTGTGATAATGGGCTGGAACTAAAAAAATTTCTACTTGTTACGAGTTTCTTCAACACTTGAGATATTCTTCTGTGTTTAGATTTGTTTCAGTGGCTCAGTGTGATTATTAGCTTTGAGCCATGTTATGACAGCCTTATTGTGCAGCATTTTACCACTGTAATTGTGCTCCTGAGTTAAATATGGGATGTTTTATTATGGAGTACTAGTTGTCATGTGTCTGTGAAGTGTTGCTTCTGTACTGTTTTGACTAAAATGACCCTGATGCATTCAGTTTTGATGTGTTGGACTGCCGCATATCCATTCACATTTTAATGTGGACTTGGTGACTTGAGAAATAGAGAACAGTTAGGAAAACTCATTTCAGAGCCTAGCCGGAGATCCAGAGAAAACAGGACTTCATAGTTAACAGATGCATTTTATAAATATTTTGAGTGATGTACTAGCACTCTTAAAATCAATGACACCTGTGTAAAATGGCAGAGCACAGCAGGCGCAAAAGTCTGCATTTTAATGAACAGGGATGCTGTGGTTTCTAAAGAGTATTACATGACTGATGCCCTTGATCCTGCAATTGAATCCATGTGGGTGGATCCTTTCATCGGTAGAGAACTGACTTACAGCTTAGGCCTCTGTCAGCACTTCATAGGTGTATAAAGGTTATTAGAGTTAAAATAGCACCTGCTACCACGGTCTTTTGTGCCTGTTTTTTCAATTAAATACTGTGTCACTCTTTGAGCATCTTCTTAGGATTGTTTTTCGTGGCTTTTTGGGTTTATATAGAAACACTTATAATACATGCTTTTTTTTTTTTTTTATTCCAGTATGTGGGTTGGGCGTAGGTTTCTCAGTCTTATTTCTTGTCTTAGATATGCTGCAATGACTTTGCGGAGATATTCTTAACTTCAGAAAAGATAGTAGCATCCATGTCATCACAGCACGAACAGTGTTTACTGTGTACCCAGCTATTCTGTTATGTATAGAACTGCTTCCAAGGAATACAGAAAACTTACTTTGTAACTTATTTCGTTTGAATCTCTATGCTGAAAATCTCAGTTACAGGATTACTTTTTTTTTTTTTTTTCCTGTGGCATATATCTCCTGGCTGTGCCCAGTGCAGAAGAGTACTCGGGTGTCTTCAGAAGTTTTGACTAACACAGAGGTACAGAGAGGTCAGCCTGACTAGGGCTGCTCTGGGCTGTAGGTGTCAAGACAGAACCTGGAAACAAGAACATAGGTTAAAAAAAAGGCAGAAGCTGTTCAAGTACTAGGCAAATGGATAGGAATAGTAAAAGCTATATGTTGAACAATTCTCCGTGTGCTTCTTAAAAACAGGCAAAGCTCTTGATTAGAACAGATTCTGCTGGTACTAGTCAGTATGGAATACATCTGGTAGAGGTCTGACATAGAAACAGTCCTGGGGTCTTTTTTCACATAGATAGCAGTGGGCTGTCAATTACTAAATTTTTTGTAGAGACTTTAATTGCTGGGAAGTGAGAGATTGCTAATGAAGCTGTGATTTTTGTTCACCTCACACATTGCATTCCTATCACATTAGTGACTTTGCCTTTCTTCTCTGTTTACGTTCTGACAGCATGTGGCCTGGGCTTTCTGAATAGTAAATTAGTACAAATACTGCTAATGTGTACTGCAAGCTCTTAAAGAAAAGGAAAGACCATAGCTTATGTTGTGCTGAAATACTAAGTTATATGAATGTATGACTACAAGAGCAATAGAATTGATGCCACATATAGTTCTTGAGTTTTTTTAACTTATATATTTGTTCATTTAAAAAAAAAGGGGGGGGGGGGGATGGAGATATATTTTACACTATCATAGGTCAAACACAAGACCTAGAAGCATAGACTCTAAATTTTGAGTTTATGTAAAAAAAGAATGATCAAATGTAACAGGAATGTTTTGAAACCAGAATAAAAAACTTTCAGAGAACATTACAAGAAAAAAAAAAAAAAAAACCCAACCACAATGTTGTGCTCACGCCAGTAAAGCTCAAAACACATCTGGTGATTTTCTTTTTTACCACAGAAAAAAAATCTTAGTCCTTCAGGGAGCTTCTGCGAAGGATAATGTGAGCCAAGGGGCTAAGCACTCTGCAAGACTGGTCCCCAAGTAAATGAAGTATAATGGAGAACATTAATGAGGGACTATAAACAAAGTGTTTGAAGTTACTCTAGTCTGAGTAATCTCTAAAGCTGTGGGTTACAATTTAGAACTTGTTTGAATTCCGGTGTGAAATCTGTCTTTCCTGAGTGTATTCCTGATGATTCACTTTGAGTGTTTGACCTGACTTTGATTTGGTTCATGATTCTCATTTCTGTTTTACAGGCTCGGTTTGATATTGCTGTTGCAAGTGAAATTATGGCCATCCTGGCACTTACCACCAGCCTGCAAGACATGAAGGAGAGGCTGGGGAAAATGGTGGTGGCCAATGACAAGAAAGGAGAACCAGTAACAGCAGAGGATTTGGTATGTTCAGTGCTGTGGACCTGTGAATAACCTTTGATGTGTTTTGTTTTGCCTCTTGAAGCATTAGAAAGGCAGGTGCATGCCAAGGATTTTGCTTTGAAAAGCACAGTCAGATATCGAAGATCAATTTCTGGGCCAAAACTTGCTCACAATGAGAACAAGATGTAGAACTCATTTCTCCAACTCTCTGGTAACATCTGGTTCGGAAGTCTCTGGTCTCCGTAATGTGCTTGGATAGTTTTTTGCAATTCTTAAGGCAAACAAATTTGATGCTGGAGGGAGTCAGAGTATGGGCTCCTATTTGAGAGAGCTGGTAATGTTTGCTACTGTACTTGTAAAGTGTACTCAGGTGTTACAGTACTTATAACACTAAATCAGACTGGAAACAAGCTATTCTTAATTCATAGGTTGCTGACCATGCTTGGGACAGGGTTATCTCTTTACATCATTAAGACTTTTTCTTCCTTCCCTTCTTTAGTTCCTGTTTCCTCCCTGCCTACTTGAGCTTCTGAAAGAAGTCAATATGTTCCTCCTTTATATCAAATTTTAGCCTTTATAGCTGGGCTGTGAGTCGGTAAACAGTAGCTGGAAGCTCACACATGTTTGTGTATGGCAGATTCTGGTGCAGCCAGAAGCTGCCAGTTAACCCTTGCAGTCCAACTGTATGCCAGGAGTAGGCTCACTGTGATGGGCACTTGTTTACTGTAACATTACATTACTTGAATTCTGAAGCCTAATTACTAAATTAAGTTCATATATTGCAGATTGACAGCACACCCTAAATACAATAAATATAATAATGCTTTGCTTTTATGCTTTTTTATCATCCAAAAATATCCTTGAAGGAACTGTGATATGTCTTGGAGCCGTGCTTTCATGCCACCCTACTGGCATGACTGCCTATATCACACAGGCTATGTGTGTTCTTTCCTGTTTGTCCTTTTTATGTGGACATCTGCACAGACTTACTTCGTTTTTAGAATGAACAAAGGAACCGGTATCCTGCCTTGTCAGCAAAGATAACAAATCCACAAGCCAGGAATACCTTCACAGCCTTAGTGGACTCCAGTTTAATAAGGAAATGAAAATGTAATATCTAGCTTTCCTTGATTTAAAATTGAAATTAAGATAAGGGTACCAAAATTTCTAAATACAGTCATCATTAAAATTCAAAGCAAATCAACTCCTCCCACTTATACAGGAGGTGTGAAGAACTACATTTAATATTCTAGCTGTTGAAGTTTTCCTTTTCAATTGCATAACTTTGCCTTGGCCAAATGGAGGGGGGAAGGGAGTAAGTTACCTTATAACACATATGCAAAAACTTTAAAGTAATTCAGTGTCAGAATTAAAACTACATTTGAAATACAAAATTTTAATCTTGATGCTACTTTTGTATGAAAGTGCTTTAATGTATTAATACTGCAAAATATTCAAATTGTCTAAAACCACTTAATGCTGATCAGCTTGATGAAAGAAAGCAGTTGCTTTTCCATAGTCTGTTTCATCTATAGTTGCTCTGTGGAAATGTAATCATAAGGTTGAATATATGAATAGTGCACAAAGAACTTAAAAATTTTTCCACTATGTCCCTAAAACTAAAGTAGTGTTCAGCAAAATGTCTGTTACTAATTAGGTTTTCTTGGCCTTTTTTTAAACAAACTTCCTATGCTTAGCATCTCAATCGTTTGATGGTGTCACTTGTGCGGAACATATGTTTCTAGTTCTTCTGTAAAGCAGTGTTCTGTATTTTACAATAGAAGAACTGCCCAGAACAAAAAAAAATTCATCACAATGTCAAGGATATGTATTATGACTATCTGCAGCTATGCTGCCGCGTTCTTTTTCTTCTTCAGGTTCTCTTCATGCCATGCACAGGGAGGACTTGAGGGCATATCATGCCCAGTTTCGTGCAGAAACTCCTACCTCCTTTGTTGTGGAGTGTGTTACAAATGAGGATAACTATGGGAAGAGTACGAAGCTGGTTAAGGCAGAACAGTGCCTTTTTAGAGAATTTAATTCTATTCCTGTGTTTTTCACAGAGCTTGTGTGTGATGCTGTGTCTGTACAAACTGATTCTTACAGTACATGAGGGGTTGTGCAGTCTTCAATCTGGCTTGATACTCAGGAGCTAAACAGCTGAAATCTATGGAAAGAGTACACCACCATCAAGAACTTTGAACCTGGAGAAATTATTTTATGTTGTCTTGGGTTGAGCATCCAAAATATGTGAATACTTTTGAGTTTGATCCTTGTGTATGCCAGTTTCTCTTCTGGAAACAGGAACTATTGTTCATTTCTGCAGACATTAACATGAAGAAGTCAGATACAGTGGTGTTGGAATTTAAGAAATGTCAAAAAAGGAAATTAGTAGTGGGTTTTCTTACTAAGATTTCTTTATCAAATTAACTACTGGTTATTTTGACAATGGGAGAGAGCTTATGAATAACTGTACTGCACTTGTGAATGTGTACTGTACAAAGTTGAATCCTTTGGAAACAATAGGGGGGGATGTGTATAATCATAGAATCATATAATGGTTTGGGTTGGAAAGGACCTTACAGACCATCTAGTCCCAACCCCCCTGCCATGGGCAGGGACACCTCCCATTAGACCAGGTTGCTCAAAGCCTCATCCAGCCTGGCCTTGAACCCCTCCAGGGATGGGGCATCCACAGCTTCTCTGGGCAACCTGGTCCAGTGCCTCACCACCCTCACAGTAAAGAATTTCTTCCTAATATCTAGTCTAAATCTGCCCTCTCCCAGTTTAAATCCATTACCCCTCGTCCAGCACTGCATGCCCTGGTAAAAAGTCCCTCCCCATCTATCCTGTAGACCCCTTGAAGTACTGGAAGGCTGCTCGAAGGTCCCTCCAGAGTTTCTCTTCTCCAGGCTGAACAACACCAACTCTCTAAGCCTGTCCTTATGGGGGGATGTTCCAGCCCTCTGATCATCTTTGTGGCCCTCTTCTGGACCCGCTCCAACAATTTTTGTTTTCCCAAGGTTTATATCTTGAGCAAATTTTCAGATGTGGTAAGAGGTTTGATATGAAGCCATTCTCCTGAATTTTCATCCTTTTGGATCAGGGTCAGCTCAGAAAGGAAGGATCTCAAGACAATTGAATGCAGGAAAAACAATATACATGTTTTCCAAATACTCTCGATCCAAGAACAGTTCAATCATTTTAACTTAAATTTTCATAAAACAAAATCAAGTTTAAAACCTTGAATCTATCATAGCCACTTGACATGGAAGATTTTAGCCCAAAGAACTGCAATTGCATATAGTTTTAACAATTTTTAAAGGCAGCTTTATCATGGGAAGTACCACACAACCTGAGTAATGGGTGGTGGTCTGTCCTACCTGTCACTTAAAAAAATTCTGGGGTTCATCTTTTACATGTACTACCCAGACTGAATTTTAAATTTTGACAGTAGTCTTTAGTTCATTGGAATCTGTGTGAACCAAAACCATGAAACCCTTCTCTGTGATTTTTTTCCAGATGTATACACAATATACTTCACAAAAACACAATTGCTCTTAATTTTTACTTTATATACAATATATTCATAATAATACAATAGTAAACCCTAAAATACACATTGGCAGATATAAACCAGATGCAAAGGCAGGCTAGCAGTAATAGAAAAAAGATAAATTTAATATTTCATGAGTTGAGAAGACTCCCTCCACAAGAGTGATGGATTAAATATCTGTCATCCGTAATGGAACATAAAGAAGTCTTTGCCAAAATGTGGTGCTCATTGTACAGTATTTTTAAAACTGAATTGCTTTTTGGCTTTTACGGTGTAGTAGAATTTTGATGGACACATGCCATATCTTCATGTGAAATTAAATGGGTGTGTATGCCCTAGATCAGTATTTCAGCAGCTATTAAAAATATTAAATAAGTATGTCACTATTTTTTTAAATAAGACTAGTTCTCCACTTAGTTTTTGTGTCATGCTGTTAGATTTCAGTAATTGCAGGACTAAAAAAAATAGCTTCATATTTACTTTTATAATTGATCTGTCAGTTGAATATATTTTGTTCTCAGATTCATCAGAAACATTGTGCACATACTTCGCTTTAAACACAAGTGGTTGCAGTTCTTCTCAGCTTATGGTTTAGGGTTTCATTTTTTACAGAACTGATACTGCAGGAAAATACTATCATTTTGTTAGAAACTACAATTTCATATGAAGTGAAGTTACAAGTACTTAATTATTTTTCTAATCAAAAAATGGGTTTTTCTCTGCCTTTAAGTCTGTGTAACCGTTACTCATTTCACAGTAGTTGCTCTCAATCACCTTCCTTGTCATCTGATGCTGGCTTTCATTTCCACTCTTGCTAGACTTCAGAGGCTGCTCCCCTGGACGTTGCTTTGAAAGTACTTTGGTTTTTCATCTAAGTTTGCCTTTCTTGTGTCACGTGTGTAATTTATTTTGTGCTCTATGATCTTTGCTGTCCTGGGGAGCATACCTGCCCCAACAGCCGGTGGATAGATGGAAGGGGTATTACTTTCAGAAGTACTTGGGATCAGTTCCAGGAGGGAACCCAGGAGAGTTCAATGTCCATATACATTTGATTCAGAGTCCTACTTCTTTCTTCTGACAGTGAGTTAGTGGAAAGCTAATGATCCTTGGTCTCTTTCATGCTTAATTGGTGTTTAAGTGTCTAAGCCTCTAATTCTTTTAAAAAAAAATTATCTGCCTTCTCTGAATTGGAAAATGGGAACCTGATTCCTCTGAGAATCAGATCCAGGACTTTGAGTGAGCTGTGGGAATTGTTTGCTAGCTGCTTGGAGGATTGGGGATATGAAGGAATGGAAACTTTATTCTGTCAGAGTCATGTCAGATAGATATGAAAAATTATATTGAATGTTTAGCTTTTAAAGATTGTTGCTGACACCAAGCCTGTTTAAGAAGCATGGAAGGCAGATAGACATGGTGTGTCCAATTGGAGTCTTTGCATCTTTTTTTCTTTGCTTTCAGCTTCAGATGCAATGAGTTGTTATGTCCAGAATACATATCTAATATGGATGAAGTTTCCCAAAAAGTTAAAATGCGTAGGAAGTATTTTTTGCTTCGCTATTTTTGTCAAATGGGTGAAGAACTATCAGAAAGCAAAGGAGACGGGATTTGAGCTGTTGCTGTCTAGGAGCGGGAGGGGAGAAAAAGGTGTCCGGATTTTATTTTATTTTTTTCTTCTCCCCCAAAAGCCTTCTTCCCAGTCAACATGGCTTGGGTTAGCAAATGGCTGTTTGCACACTTGCTTTGAAAGAGCTGGTGTTCTCATCCAGCATGAAGCAGACAACAGAAACCCCTAATTGGGATGGCTACAGTTGGCATGAGTTAACGCTTGTCAGTCCTTAGGCAGGTTGCCCAAGAGGAGCGTTAGGGCTGATCTGTGGCTGCTCAGGTAGTTGACCTTGCCATTGACCAGTTGGAAGATCTGATGTAAAGTTTTCCATTTGGCTTTTTTTCTCCAGAGAGTAGCTGTTACAATTGCCTTTTATGTAGTAAGACTGTAAACTATCTCAGTGTTCATGCGCTGAAAATTTTCAGCAGCTGTTTCTCTTTCAGCATAATGATGAATAGCTTATGCTATATGATGTTGGAAAAACTGGGATAGAGGAAGAAAATGTAAAATTAACCAACCTTTTCTTTCAGATATTTCTGTTACCTATAACCTACTAACTATTGTTTGTAGATGGATCTGCTTTCCATGAGACAGAAGACAAAAAACTTCTCTAGCTGTTTTAGTTTTGTGTTGCTAGCAACTGGTGATGATCATCGTTTCCTTCAGCTGGGGGTGGAAGGAGAAGAAGTGTGCTTCTGGTCTGAGAAATTCTGTCCCAGCTGTCTGCTGAATTCATCAAACAGCAAGAAAAAAAATGAGCTTATAGATCTATTCAATAAGTATATTGTACATTCTGATTTTTTTATTTTAATGAATTAAAATTCTGCACACCATCAACAGGAAGAAGAATGTATTTGTTCTGATAAATTAGTAGGATTAAAAACTGGGGTTTAATGAAGAAATTGCTAGGATTTAAATTTGTTCCATTTCGTTTTAAATTCTTAGAGCTGAAACCGGGTATTCACTATTTTGTAAGTGCTTCAGATTTGGAAGTGAATCAAATCAGTTTTATAAAGCAAGTTCTTATATTGAACAGATTTAAAATTTAATATCCTACGAAAAATGCCCACTTTGGAAAGACTTCTACAAATTACTAAAATACAAGAAATCAAAGGCAATGCTAATGGCAGTTATTTTAACATGGCCATAAAAAGCAAACTCTTTTATGGATAAAATATTGAAGTCGCATATTCTAACAGCTGAAAATTTTATGGGATACTGGTTAAGTGAAACTTTACGGAACATTGTTTTTGAGATTTGTTCTGCATTTTTAAGTTATTTAAAATAATTAGTTTATAATCTTACCAATTAATTTGTAGCAGTGGAGGAACTTGTGGAAGTGTAAAGCAATAATAATTTCATTTCTCTTTTTAACGTTTTCCATTTGCCTTGCATTTAGGCTGTCAGCTTTGGATTCAAACGAGAGTAGTTGGGTATAGGTATGACATAGCCCCAGGCTGCTTCCATGGAAGTGATGGAGCCTCAGACATTCCCACAGAGGGCTGGCACACTGGTGTGTCCTTGCTTTTTGATCCTATCTTCTAGAATTGAAACATTAAGAAACAGAAATCTATTCTTTGCTAATTCAGAAGAGGGAAAACTATGTTGTTTTGCTACCAGTTTCTCATATTATGTCTCTGTGGGTCTATTTGTGTTTGTAGATATTGGGAGTTTACAAAATGAAAAGAGTGAAGAATATCTTCTTTCCTTCACTCTCCCCAAAGAAACACTTCCCATGCTTTAGTAGAAACCAGTTCTACTATTTTCATTTGAATTAATTTTTATCCGAGGCTGAATATTCTGATGCATTTTCCTCTGAAGTCTTATGTTCAGATGTAATCCTCACAATGGGGAAACTTGAATTTGTGCAAAATACTATACATCTGTAATGACCACATGCTTTTATGTCTCTCATCTGTCTGTCATTTGGATTTTCACACTAAGTTTGATTGGTGAAATTTTGGGTTAATTGGCACGAACTGTGCTGAGAATTATACAGGTGTTATTTTCATTGCTCTTCTTTATTTGAACATTACTGTTCTGCTCTTAATAGGATATTCAGGTAATGTATCCATGTTTCTGAACCTTCATTTTAAACAGTTTGCAGCAGCTGTTATTTTTATTTGGTTTTAACGTTTCTTTTCAACATGATAATGTATTAAATTCATTTTTTATGTTCTCCATCAAGCCTGTGAGCCCCTCCTTATAACACTAGTGCATTTTTTTCTATCCATGATCTAGTTCTTTCAAAATACATTTTCTTCTGCATATAGTCTAATAGTACTGTGCACACTCTATAGACAGTTTTTTCTAAAATTAGCGTTGATTTCATTGTAGAGGAATGTCATAACTTTCTCTTATTTTAAATCTGGTCAGTGTGAAATTTATACTTAATATCCCATAAAGTTTTTAGGGAGGAGTTAGAGTTTTAACAACTGAAATGTAGCAATTCACTCAACTCCTTTTGTCCTCTCATCATCACAGTAAGGCACCTCTAACTTCTAATCTCGTGATGTATTCGTTATCTACCTCTGCTCAACTCTGTCTCTGCTTTCATCCTGTCTCTATTATGTATATATTTGTAAAAGTCTTGAAAAATACCCTCTCTGGTTGTTGCTAGCTATTGATTCCTGCTATTGATTCTGTCTTGAAAGAAATACATCTGTCATTTCTTTAGGCAGTTTTAGCAAGTTATTGCCTTCTGGCTTTCTCAGTCTCAGTGGCCTTTGCTTCCGCTTCATCTTTTGTTCCCGTGCACATCCTCATGCTGATCACTTAATAACTCTTTTTATGGTCACTCCATGAAATAGGAAGAATATTTGCCTACTGGCTTTTAAGTGTATCCAGTGCAAAAATTGTTACTATTTCTGGCACGCTCTGTAAATACAGTATGTTAGAAGTCTTGAGGTAACATCTAAATAATTTCTTTTTGCAACACTGTAACACTGCTTATCCATTATGGCTATGGGCACACTTTCTTTTCCTCCTTTGAAGTGTAGGGTTTTTTTCCCTGTTTTAACTGTAACCTTAAGTGTAACTCAGAAATGTTGCACGTCAGAATTTATTTCCTTAAAATGTGCATTCTTTTGTTTTTTAGGGAGTAACAGGTGCTTTGGCAGTTTTGATGAAAGATGCAATTAAGCCCACACTAATGCAGACATTAGAGGTGAGTATGGCTTATCATGCCTGCCCTTCTCCGGCTTTCAAATTCCATATTGTGCTTGTCCTGCTTCTCTCTAGTGACTGCACTTAACTTTCAAGGTTCAGGCCAGGGTCAAATCCATAAAGGCAGTTTAGCAAATGTTCATTTGTGTATGTTAACTAATCAACTCTATCTGCATTTATACCTTTTTGGTGTGGGGTTTTTTTTTTTTTCCCCTTTCTTTGAGACTGGCTTTAGTCATAATTTTGCCTAGTGTTGCAAACAAGCTGCGGTGCACTGCTGAACTGCTTCTGAGCACACTGGAAGGCAGGTTGGGCTTCCAAGTAGTAGACTTCCTTCTGTTTCCCATCTGCTCTTCTAAGGAAGTTTCCTTTTTATGTATGTTCCCATGATGATTCCCACAGCCCAGCATTTTGAGTGGAAGGCAGATGCTTTGCTGAGGCCATTCTATTCTGTATTGTACTTTGTGCCATTCAGAAACACAGGAGGTCCTTTTGCCTGTTCATGCTTTTTCAAAAGACAGCTCCCAGCCACCCTGTCTTGCCATAGTGCCTTCAGGGACTAAATGGACCTTTGTTGGCCTATGGGAGTAATATTTTATACTCACCCTAGTGAGCTTTCTTCCAGCAGCTCAAAGAATGCAGAATTAGTACATTCTAACTTTATGACTGGGCAGTCTAGTATTGTCTTTTCAATAGTAAGGTGAATGATGAGCATTATTCATAAGGAGAGGAAGGAAGAAAAATGGGAAAATAATGAAACAGTTTTGAAAACAAATGTATTTGGAGAAAAAATACATTCTTGAAGGTTTGACCATCAAATGTACATAGCTGGAATATTTCACAACAATTCCTGGTATGGTGAAAAGTTGAAGAATGTAGAAAGATACTCTCAGGGAATATTAGAAAAATAGTCTATGTTATTTTGCTATAGCCATCTTTTACAAGAATACGTTATTTTACTGTAACCATCTTGTCCTGCAAAGAACATCTGTTCTTTCACATGGCTGTATGAAGAATATATGTGTGTGTCAGAATTTAATATAATATCCAATAGCAGAAACTGGAGGTCACGTAAGATCAAGAATGTCACGGCCAGAACTGTGTATTAAATTGCCACTTGGGTAACAATGTGTGTGTTAAACTTATCAGTGACAAGGTAGCTTTGATAGCATTTAGTCTGCATCACTCTGTTTGCTCTTGGCTTATCTGTTAGAAAATAATGTGGTTCTATTGCAGTGTTCTAAAAGACAATTATAAATGGCAGAAGAGTTTCTTTTGATCGATAGCCATTTGGTTCTGGGACTTGGATGTGGTTTTTTTTCCACTGCGTTTCTTTATATTCACATTTCTATGCAATAAAATTCCTGCCTTTTGTGTGGTACTCTTTCCTAGTCTAATCTATGCTATGACTGAAGTATCTGCCGACTTTCTTCAGACACTATTGCTTGTTAGGAGGACTCTGGCCACAGTACCCAAGGATATTTTTCCCTCAAATTCTTCTTACAAAGTTATTTTTGAAACAGCAAACTAAAGCTTCTCAGAAGACTGCTTCATGCTCCGCTCCTGCCATTTGACTGTCAAAGGTGAACTTTTGTCACCCTTTGTATACCTGTTGGCTTGCAGGCTAACATGGGTCACCTGCCCAAGAATGGAAATCTCAAGCTTATCTAAATCTTTTCCAAGATAGTGCTGCGCTTTGGCTGATGTATGCAGCTTAGGCTGTGTCGTTGCTCTTGTGTAGAAATGCAATAGCCTGCTCTGTTATTGCCCACGATGTTGTTGCTGTTCTTGAGCCTCAAGCTTGTGCCATGTCTCATTTTGTGAAAAAATACCTTTCATTATTTTTAATTATTCATGTTAATAGCTTTAAGAGCTGCTAATTTTAATAGCTTCAGTTTTTCAAGAAGAAAAAGGAGAGAGGAGATGGAAGAAGAAAGATATTTTTCCCTGTACATTTGAGTGTAGCACAGTAATCCACCTGCGAGTTTAGAGCCCTCAAGCATGACAGATTTTAAGCCAAACTAATCCTAGTATACCCTGAGGTGGTGGATGCAATGCCTCTTATACTGTAGGGAACAATATATTTCTGATGTGTGTGAATTGCAAGTCTCTTCTCACAAACCAGAAATTAGGAGATTTGAAGTCTAAATCACACTTGAAATAATCCTAATAAGTACCATCCAAAAGAAGAGGAATCTCTTAAGTTTCCGAAGAGGCTTCCAATAGTAATTAGGCAACATAATCCTAATCCCTTCAGGGAGAACGAGTTCTCAATACAAGTGTAAGGACCTTTAGCAACAACACCACGACTTGATAACAGTAAATTCAGAAATGATCCTGTGACAAGTACATCCAGTATCTACAGCACACTGCTGGTGTAAAAACTGGAATAATATGATTAAAAAGAACACAAATGCAGCTCAAACTGTGCTGTGGACCTCTCCTGCAAGTAGGGATGAAACTGTTCACCGAAGCACATCTTCCAGATCACTTTGGTATTGGGGAATGGCAAAAAGACTGCCTGAGGAGGTGGAGCAGGCGATCTTCTGGATGATTTCTAGCTGATACTGATGGATAATTTGATAAAATTTGTAAGTGATAGCATCTGTGGGTAGCAGCAGCTGAAAGCAGCCGTTGCAGAGATAGCCACTCTCCTCTGTGATCTGGCAAAGAGCCTGTAGATGGGAATATTGTTAAGCTGTGGAGGTCTGAGGAGTTGCTTCTAGGCGCCTATGAAAGGGGAGAAGAATGACCTACCTGGTGGATTTGCACCAGCTTTACATCAGCATCTGCACGCACTGGAGAAGAGGTTTGGAAGTTCATAAATGAAAAATGACTGAATGTCAGTCCTGTGTGGAACCAAACTGACAACTTGTGTCAGTGCTTTTTTTCATATGTGAGTTGATGTGTGTATTTTAATTTGCTGTGTTTTAAAGTGGTTTCTTGGTGGGTTGAGCTCCATCGCAACCCTGCTACTCTGTCACCAGAAATGCTCCCTCAAGGCGTTAGTGATTGACAGTGTTTTATATGCAGGAATGACAGTACAATCTGAAAATGGGAAGCATGGAGCACTCCACCTACAATAACTCTAGGCTTCAGTAGAACTTATATCCAATGCTCTGGAATTGAGATAACTGTGTTTGAAAGGTACATAATGATTTCATAGTGTTTATCCACATTTGTCGTGACAGATTTGTTCCCTTGTGAACTGATCCCTTAATGTTTAGCATTTATTTATACCATGCATAACAGAGCAGCTGCTCTATGGGACAACACTTTGTAGTTGCCGGCTGGCTGCTCTGGGATGGTCTGCTCGTGTTACGTTTAAAGTGCCACTCACAGTAAAGATGAGGGGAGGATGGTAATAAGTATTATAAACATCCATCTAGCGGCCAGATAACTTCAGATATTTATTGACATTCATGGTTTATTTTCTTCTAGTAAAACTTGGATAATAAAATTTCCTGTACTGAGAACAGTCAGCAGAATGCATCCCTGTGCCACTGTTTGTTTCTCCATATAATTTATTAAGACAGTAACAAAAATAAGTGACACTCTTTGGAGTGGGATGGTTGGGCTGAGACAGGGTTACTGAAGCTGGCCCGAGAAGACGTTGTCCCTGTTCCAGGGTGTGCCTGAGGCTCCTCAGGCTCTACTGGAGTTTGCTCCCTTCAGAACCTAGACTTTATTTTTCTCCCAGGACTGGCCTTGTAAAAAGACCATTCGAATAACTCCTCCTTTTCTTCTGGTGGTTTTCAGAGCTCCAGGGGAACATCTGACCATGACAGTGGTTTAGCAGTGCATTTGTATTTCAAGTTAGTGGCAGGGGCCTCTTGGCTACTGATATTCTGGATATTAGACCCCACAATCCAAATTTCCTTCCCATCCATGTTGTGTGGATGAACTCTTGGAAACACAGTTGCACAGGGAATGTTGTGGACGCCTCTGGCCCCCTCTCTGCATAGGTGCTGCAGTATGGGCTGGGCTGCCCGAGTCATCTGTGCTTGGGCTTCCATACATCACATCTGCACATGTGTGCTCTGGGCTCTAAGGAGAGTGGCCCTGTAGTTGCTTGCCACAAGAAAGCAAGGGCTTGGAAGAGTAAAATTAAACTTAGTAATAAAACACAAATCAGAATAAATCCCGTGGATTTCAATCTGGTAGCTGAAAACAGCAGTTTTATTTATTTGAATGCCAGCAGGGTAAATACTGAGTTAAAGTAAAACTTAAGGAATTAAAACCTATACATAGGTTGGTGGAAGTGCTTTGCATTTTATTTTGTATAAGTTATAAACTCTTTGGGATAGAGGTAATCTTTTATTTTGCACAGCATCTCCCATTAGATTGATGCCTAAGTACAATTAAGAAGTGTTGAAGGTGTACATAGTTCAAGTTAATTTGATTGCATAAATATGTAAAACCCCAGTTGATATTGCAGTGTGTGATCATCAGCAGATAGCAAGCAAGAAAAAAAGTAAACCTTAAGTAAACATTACAAAGTCAGTGTGTTATGATGATGATAATCTGCATCATTCCTTTTGTTACAGGGTATAATTTCTGGTTTATTTACTTTTTCTACTCCTGTTCTGCTGTTTCTTGTCTAAAATGTATGAGGCAGAGTTGTCTTCAGATTGTAGCTTAATTGTCTAGTTTTTAGAGAATATTCCCTGCCCATTGTGTGCATATCCTCCTTTTTCCAATCTCAAGTAAAAAAACAAACAAGCAAAGCCCCCTGGTTTTTCAGATGAAACTTGAAGTTTGATGTGCCAGTGGATAAAAAGTTACTTGTCTTTGCTCTGAACAGAACAATTCATTACGTATAATTACTTCTAGAGGAAGCAATAAGAACAGATGGTTGTTGTTGGTATATTTTATATGATTTGTATTTAGTGATACTGAAACAGGAAGGTCTGTTTTCTATAGTAGCAAGTGTTTCACTACTGTAATCCAGTAGTGTTATTCTGGTGTTTTATGGAAAACATGATAATTTTTGTCTGGGTAGGTTGTTTTCTTAAGACACTGTTGGGGGGTGGTGGGGGGAGCAGCCAGCTTTTATTATATGGCTAATAATTTACAAGTTATGGTTCATGAGACTGCTGGGTGTGGCCTGCGGCTCATCCATGGAACACCGTCCTCCTTCATTGGTATTTCTGGTCAAAAATCGAGGAACATTGCCCAGTAACTTGCCTGAAATTTTGCAGGTTGGCAGTAGCTCCTAGTATAGATGTGCGTCAAGAACATTGATGGACATAATCTGAAGTTATCTAATTACCTTTTCTTTAACCAGATGGGGATTTTTAAAAGCATTAACACAACAATGGAGATGTTTGCTTAAGTATTTTATAGTAAGACAGCTGAAGTGCTATCCTTCCCTCTGATTGTGTGTTCTGACTTCCAGAAAAATAGCAGTTAGTATGTCTCACCTAATCCTAATCCCTATCTGTAGATGCTAATTTCTCCTTTCCTGGTGATGCCTGCCAGAAAAGTAATGGGGAAGCCGAGATTTGCCTGCTACCTGACAAATTTCCCTGTGCCATTACTTTGTTAACTCCTTGCCTATCCTTTTGCTGGTTCAGCTCGCTCCCTGCTACAGACTCTACTTTCCTTGTGTATTTGTGCAGTGTCTAGTTTAGGGGAATTGGGCTCTGCACCCGAGTCTCCCAGCTGCTTGGCCAGCAGTGGTGAATGCTTTTTCCATTTCATATCAGCACCTCCACTGCACCCCCTCTATGTCCCTTCCCTTCTCCATCTCCAGCTCCTTAACCGTTGACTCTGGTCCGTCATTGCTTCCACTGGCTACTTTGCCTGCACAGGAATGGCAATTACAGTCAACGAGGAAAACACAAACAGTAAGGGATGGTGCAGGGCAGGAGCTGGGCTCTATTTGTGTTCCATCTGCAGCGATGCACCTAGGGCTGGTTGTAGTCCGTGTGCCAGAATAGCACCCCACAGGGGTGAAGGTGGAAGTATGAAACATCATTTCAAGGTTGGGCAAAAAGTTACGTAAGTTACCTAAAGTTGTGCTTCTGTCTGTTACCTTTTTGTGAATCAAACAGGTTCTGACACCTAGGCCTGGCAGTGAATGGGGTCTCAAGCACCTGGGATGTACCTGACCCCACCAAATTGTCTCACAGCGCTTACTCATTATATGGGCTTTTGACTTATGTACGATCTTGATTAGTCTGCGAGAGTACTGAGCTTGTGTTCTTACCTATCCATTAAATTAATGATATATATTTTTTATCATTCAGGGAACACCAGTATTTGTTCACGCTGGGCCTTTTGCTAACATTGCACATGGAAATTCTTCTGTTTTGGCAGATAAAATTGCCCTTAAATTAGTTGGAGAGAAAGGATTTGTAGGTAAGTAATTATTTTGTTTACTATATTATGGTTTGTTGGTAAATTGTCAAACAGTGATGTAAGTGAATGGATAAAATAGTGATGAAAGGTAAGAATGCTACTTCATTTTATGCTAATATTAATAATAATCTTAAATAATCTTAAAGGGAATGTGTAAAAAACCAAAAGCACTTCTTCTGCCCTTTGTCTCAAGTGTTCGTGTCTCTGTGTTTGAGATTCCACAAGGTGGCTGAACCAGTTAAATGACTGAATTGCGTTGAAAGATGTGTCCTGTAGTTCCATTAGGTTGTTCCAGCTGCATTGGAAAACCTCCCCACAAGGCCCTCACGTTCCCATGAAAGCATGTGGGTGAGCGGACTCTAGAAGCAACTAAGTAAAACTTACTGGTATGGTCACAGGGAAAATAAACTTGTGGCTAAATGGTGAACTAGTTTTTATAAAAATTGTGGTGTGTGTTTAAACTTTAGAATTAATAAAATGAAAGGGGTGTTGCTACTTTGCGTTAGTAATGCCTTTGCGCTGCTGCAGCCATTCTCATCTGTGTCCTGAACACCCTCGCTAGCTAGGTACGAAATAAATGTGCATATGAAAGAGACTGGTAAGAGAGAAGGGGGACCACAGCAACCTCAGTTTAAATTAGTTACCTTAGAACTGTATCATAATCCGATGAGAATAAGTGATCAGGTCTCAACTGGATGAACTTTCTTGAACCTTCTCGCTACAATTGCACTGCTGCTGATGCTGGAGCAACAGGGTGGCAAGAATGCACAACTAGCAACAGTGGGAGAGCAGGCAGAGGCTAGCTTGGTTTATGTTAATCCTAACGTTGGACTTTGAGTACCTGTGGAACAGTGACCTTGAAGTGTTCTGTGCTTAGAATAAATGTTCTCTGTCCTTTTTTTTTTTTTTTTTTTTTTTTCAAGTGAAGCAGCAAAGTGCACAGTGGTTTTTAGATCCTTGTTAGGGTATTACTAAAAATATTAGTTCCTAGAGACAGTTTTGCTAACCTCTGCCCTTCTGATCCGATATAATTTGCAGAGATTATCGGACATTTGCATGTAATACTTTCTTAGCAAGAGCATTCTTGGGAAAAGTGTGATTCCATATTCTGTTCTCACTTCTTATGGTTAGGTAGGAGAAGCTAGGGAAATGCTGACCTGTCTAAGAAAATAAAGCATTGCTGTTAAGGTAGTCATGAGGTTTTCAAGGTAGTCTGGGCATGTGTTTTGTGTTTATGGTTCTTTTTAAGATGCGTGATCGTGTCAAGGAAAAGGGTTATTTTCTCCAGTGTTAACTGTTGTACAACTAAAGGGTCTGTTCATTTCCCTCTAATAATCAAACATCAGTTCAAAGTAAGAACATTTTGCATTCTGAATACATTTATTTAATGTTCATAGAATCGGTATTTCATTAGTCCATGTTTGTTGTTATATGGCTTTGTGGGACAAAGAGCAAAAGCATTTAGAGTAGCTGACATTTTTCGTAGGCTGGGTGAAGTGACTTTGTTTCTGCAGTGAGCAATCTTTTCACGTGGGAAGTCTGTTTTGTATCATTTGAATGGAAGTAGGCTGGTGGCAGTCTTGATGCAGGTTTTGGAGCCCCAAAAGTATCACCTTGGGTTTGTTTTCCCCTCCATTCAGTGCTTCCCTCAGGCACAGAGAGCATATCCTCGCGTATTCTTGGATTCCATGCTCTTTTTTGGTCTTATCCACCTGTTTGTCTTTAACACTCTTTTGCTTTGTTTGTTTTTGGCCCTGGTTTCTGTGTTGGGAGACAAAGCAGTGTAGCTGCAATAGAGGAAAACCTTTGTGTGTTGCCAGCTAAAGGCTCTTGTATGGTTTTTATTCTGTAGAACACAAATCCCCAAAACTGGCTTCAAAATGAGACTGGCTTGCTCTGCTGAGCAAAGAACTTCAGCATCATTTTTAGACCCTTGTTAGATTATTAAAAACAAAAGTTCCTAGAGTGGCCTGCTTAAATAAATTTTGCAGGTAGTCACAAGTGTGAATGGTTGTTTTAATGTCTGTAATTAGGGTAAGCTTTACGGTTTAAAAAATTCATTGTTTCTGGTATTGTTTTTTTTTTTTTTTTTTTTTTACTTAAGCCATAGGTATTTTAGAGCAGAACCTCCTGCTAAGTGTGTAGCCAGTACTAAAGAGAATAGCAGGGCCTAAACTTGCACCACAGTTTCACAAACACATATTTTTTATTTTCTGTCCTGGCTTAAGCAACCTCCTTCCTCCAGCTGCTTGTTTCCAGTCCTGTGCAACTCCTCACCTGCCAGCGCACCTGCTTATAGAGCCAAGTGATAAACTCAGCTGAAGAGTTGGTCTTGATTGAAAACAACTACTACAAAAAAATCCCCTTCCTTCCCCTCACAACAGTGCCTGGGCAAACGGTTATATGTGTGACAGGGGAAAGATGAGATAATATCACATAAGGTGGTGTTTTTGCTAAAATAAATATTTATAATATTATAGCCTCATTTGGAGCTTTAAAGTGCCAGGAAAGCTACTGTGGATACACTGGCTACTCAGACTGAGCCTGCATTGCCGGAGCAACTGAGCCGCTCTCCTGTGCTCAACTGTTTTTGCATGACATCCCGGCAGAAAGCTATTGCCCTTTTTGTTGGCTTAGTTTTCTGCTGACTTAACACAGAAGCAGTTCAGCCCAGAGTCACAAAAACACCAGAGCTGATGCAGGGGAGGGTGAGTTGGGACAGCAAGCAGTGAAAAACCAATCTGTTGTATAGGTCCCACTGTTTGTGTGACCGTGTGCCATGGCCAAGGCAAAAAAAAAAAAAAAATCCTCCCCAAATGTTCTTTTTAAATTTATTTTTAAACCTTACTTTCTCTCTCTGGCCTGCATCGCCTCTTTCTCTGCTTGCTGTGCAGCTGGGATTGCAGCATGCTGTGCCTTTTGAATAGCGGCTGTTAGCAACGATGCAGACAGTCTGGTTTAAAAAAAAATCTAAACAAAGTTAAACCGTTGAGTCCTGTTGTGAACTCTCACTAATTGAAGGCATTCTCTGCTTCAGTTTCGGGTATCTAAGTGAATCACAAGCCCTCATTTAAGTTCAAGATAGCGGAAGCCTTCTAGCTCAGCTTGTCCGTTCTCTCTTCCCTGAGCCTAGTTGCTACATTGCAACTCAGTCTTTTTGCTCTGTTTTTGAGTTCTCTCAGGACAAGTTTTGCCACTGAAGTTTTAGTGCAGTGTCTCAGCTAGACTTCTTTATCTTGTCAGCTTTTTACTGCTTTGGGCCTGTTTCCCTGCAAATTCCCCCCATCCTTGCTGTGGGCAAGCATGGCCCATTGAGGACGGCTGCGCGGCGCCGGCAGGCCCCGCCATGGGTCCATGGCCCCCCCGGCGGTTTCATGGTGGGCCGCCGTGCCCGTGGCCTGGGAGGTCGTGCTCTACGGCACATTGAACACACCAATCCTCACAATTGCTTTAAGAGCTTTGCAACCTCTTGCACATCATTTCAGCCCCTCTGGCAGCAGCCTGAAATCTGTTTCTGACATTTTGCTTTCCTTTTGTATGAAAGGTTTGCCTAAACTGGCCTATTTAACCGATTCTGCATAGCTTGCTTCTGATTCCGCTTCATTGTTAACCAGCAAGGACAGCTGACCTCCCAGCAGTGGTGGGGACAGGAGCTTGGCATTTAGGCTGAGTCCTGTGCTATGGCTGAGTGGGGAAATATATCTTTATCTGTATTTAGGCAATTATTTCTGGTGGATTTTTTTGTTTCATTTTGTGGTGTTAACCTCTTTCATTCCCCTTTTGTTCTTCATCGCTGTCCTCTGATGTTGGAATGTCAAACTCATGGGTGATCCACAGGAGCTGGTTAATACTGAAGGCCACACGTGGTGCAAATTGCAACTGAAGATTTTACTGGCAGCCCTGAGGATAGGTTTGCCATTTCTGTAAAGCTTTAATTTTGACAATTTTCTCATTGTGCTTGTGTTCTTATTTCATGGTTCAGGGGAGTGTATTTTGATTTACTGAAAGTCCTCTTCTGTGCCTCATCTTTCTCTCCTCCATAGTTTCCCACCATTTCTTTGAGGAAGATTTTCATTATTTCAGAAGGGTCATGGTATTTTTTGCAAACAAGACTTTAACCAGGTTTTTGGATGCTTACATTAGGGGGATTGCCTTAAATTAACAAAGAATTGTTGTGTTTGTTTCTCTGTCAGCAGAAGTCCTGTGTCTGGACCAACACAATGTATGATGTATATGTAAGACTCTTGATTTTAATTCTAAAGGTTACACTATTTAGGGAGGTAAGTGTTCCTGGTATTATTTTGCCACATAAAATGCTGTGGTATAGGAAAGAATCATTTCACAAAACAGAGTTCTGGGTGTTCTTAAACACACACAGACACACACACTCTCTTCTCAAGGATTTGGACACGGTGTATGGGTTCAACAGCACTTTGCTCCCAGGTAAGAGTCCTGGTCATAAGCACTGTGTGTATGCAGAACAAAAAAAATAAAGTCCTTGTCCTAGAAAGACTTGCTAATTACTCGAAGGGCAAGAGTTGACAAGTGCCTACTGACAGCCAGCTGGCAAAGCACATAAAAATACTTATTTATCACAGTTGTATTGCCATCCTGCTCACCCAGCAGTCTGGTTTTTGGTTTGTTTTTTGGGGTTTTGTTTTGTTTTATTTTGGGGGTTTTTTTTGTGATAGTTTCCAAGTGGGGGGGAAATTCTTGGTGTATTCTGCAAGTAGACAAATGGTAAGAGGTTCTGTAGGTTTCAGGAGTCATATCTCATGTCAGGGAGAGCAGAGGATGGACTGCAAAGAAGCATCAGTGAGATGGAATTTATTCTGGTTGCTGACATCTCGCTAGGGACAAAGGTTTGTTTAGAGACAGGTGCCTTGAATTGCAACTAGAAATGGAGGGGACTAGACTACAGAACCCATATTAACTTGTCACCCTTCAGGCATGCCATGAGGGCAAAAATGTTTTGCAGTCCTTGTTTACTCCTGTGGGCA